GGGACGAGGAGGAGGATGAGAACGAGGATGAGGATGGGGACGGGGACGAGGATGGGGACGAGGATGAGGATGAGAACGAGGATGAGGACAAGGATGGGGACGAGGATGGGGATGAGAATGAGGATGAGGACAAGGATGAGGACAGGGACGAGAACAAGAACAAGGATGAGGATGGGGACGGGGACAAGGATGAGGACCAGAACAAGGACGAGAACGAGGATGAGGATGAGGACAGGGACAAGGATGAGAACGAGGATGAGGACGAGGATGCGGATGAGGATGCGGACGGGGACGAGAACAAGAACGAGGATGAGGATGGGTACAGGGACGAGGAGTAGGACGGGGACGAGGACGGGGAGGAGGATGAGGACGAGGATGGGGACGAGGATAAGGACGAGGATGTGGATGAGGATGGGGACGAGGATGAGGACGAGGATAGGGACGAGGATGGGGACGAGGATAAGGACGAGGATGTGGATGAGGATGGGGACGAGGATGAGGACGAGGATAGGGACGAGGATGGGGACGAGGATAAGGACGAGGATGTGGATGAGGATGGGGACGAGGATGAGGACGAGGATAGGGACGAGGATGGGGACGAGGATAAGGACGAGGATGTGGATGAGGATGGGGACGAGGATGAGGACGAGGATAGGGACGAGGATGGGGACGAGGATAAGGACGAGGATGTGGATGAGGATGGGGACGAGGATGAGGACGAGGATAGGGACGAGGATGGGGACGAGGATAAGGACGAGGATGTGGATGAGGATGGGGACGAGGATGAGGACGAGGATAGGGACGAGGATGGGGACGAGGATAAGGACGAGGATGTGGATGAGGATGGGGACGAGGATGAGGACGAGGATAGGGACGAGGATGGGGACGAGGATGAGGACGAGGATGGGGATGAGGATGAGGACGAGAACGAGGACGAGGATGGGGACACTTACGGCCAGGGGCAGAGGGGTCGCGATGCGTTCGGCTCCGCTTCCCAGCAGGAAGCACTTGCTCTCCTTGTAGGGCACATCCCGGTTCACCCTTTCCAGGAGCTGCTCCAGGATCTGCGAGGTGAGGGTGGGCTCGGTGGCCAGGGACCTCCACATGGTACACGCGTGGCTGGAGGAGAGGAGGGGGAGGGGAGCACTTTGGTACCGCTCCATTGCGGCCCCGGGGGGACGAGCGGGAAGCGGCGACCCCCCCC